ATATTTGAATCCGGATAGTAAAATTACAGTTTTGTCCAAATCGTATCATGATCTGGATATCTTGATTTTAAGGTCTAGATATCCAAATTCGGATCTTTATTAAAATATTTTTAAATTTTAAATTTCATTAATAATTATATTTTACATATTAATATTTATTTCTCTTGATCTAACATAGAAATATCTTGGAATACATGAACGTATTTAATGAACGGAACGTCGGTGGGGTTCGTCGTGGTCTTGAGCCCATGAACACGAGCTCCTCTTTCATGAGAATAGGCAAGAGTGGATTCATGTCTCTTTTGGTCGCGAGCTTAGTGCTCTTGTTTCTTGTAAAGTGTAGGATCGGAGAAGGAGAAGATTAGAGGTCGTGAGTATTACGTAGGCGTCATCGACATGGTTGTGGGGAATGATATGATGATGTTGTGTGAACTAATAAACGCATAATCCTCTTTATATTAAATAGGAAGATAGTGATATTCTTGGTCATGAGCCTTTGTAAGGGCATGATTATTGCAAGGTTCTTAAGGTAAAGTCCTTAATACACATATATGTATTAAGGACTTTACATTAAGAACCTTGCAATAATGATGCCCTAAGTTCTCAGAAGTGTCGTTAGGAAGATAACTCTCTTGTCCTTTTATAGGACTTTCATCTTTTTGTTGTTACGCGTGCTCCTCATCTTTAGCCTTGACTTCTTCTCACGTTGAACGAGGCCGAGAATATAGGAGGTCGATAACTAACACATTTGACCTAATCTAGATTGGTAATCGACGGCCAATATTAATAGAAAAGATTTGTACCAAATCTCAGTCCAACATCAAACCTACACAAAAATTGCAAGTGATGGAATAGACAATGGTCAAGAATAAATGCGGCCGTGGATCCTTGTAAAACTATGGCCATTCTATTTTCTTGATCATACTATTTTTTTTTTTTTTTTTTTGCTTTGAACTTGTTTTTTATCTGCTATGTCTCAGCCAAAATGTATGTTTATTCTCTTTTCTTCTGACTCTCCAAATATGAATTAGATCATAGTCGTAACCTTTATTTATTTAAACTGAAAACTCTTTCTTGAAAAGAACCATAAAGTCACAAGAACAAAATTCTAGAGAAATTTATATTCTTTTTCTCTCTAACTAATCTGTAGTTTGGAAGAGTTTCACTAACAAAATTATTTTGTTGTTTTTGTTCAAAACATTACTTGTTGTACTTTAAATGAAGTCGAATTTTTTAATCTTAATTTGGTATAGTACTGAATGTAAACACGAATTAAATATGGTTGTTTGAAAGATGTTTACTGAATGATCTTGAGGTGATTACAAAGAGATTGAATGAGTTTTGGTGAGCTATAAAAACTCGGCAAGAATAATGAGATTAATATGAATCATAATCTTTATGTCATGTCTTCTTTGTATTTGTGAATGCCTTCTTTCAATCTAACTCCGCTCTTTATATACTTGGTAGATTTACCTTTTATATCCTTAAGTCAGCGCAAAATCCTAGCCGATTTTGTCTAATGGAACTGGTATGTTTGTTCGATGAGCCCATTTAAGGAATATAATTCATCTCCAATATGAGGGTGTTATTGGTTAATGTATTTTGACTGATTTAGAAATCTGTATAGAATTTATAAATCTTAGCAAAATATATTGATTTCCAAATCTAATATGTGAATTTTAATAATTACTTACACAAATCCGAGGGTTTTCCTTCGAATTTTAATCCTTGTATTTTTAACAAAGAAATCCACACAAATCCACCCAAATTCATTATAAAATCAAATCCATTAATGAATCCGTATGATTGAATAACACCTGATTTGAATTAGAATTTATAAATCATGGAACCAATAACACTTGATTCTAATTTGGATTTTAAAATCATGGAACCAATAACACTACATTTTGTTTAGATTTATAAATCCATTAAAATACATAAACCAATAAAACCCACTTAGATTTCTAGAAAATTACGCTATAAAAATGTAAATAGTCTCATTTTGCGTTTTTATTTTTAAATCTTCCTTTCTGTTATTTTATTAAATCAAATGTTTTTTTTTGCTGAAAGAAGAATTGAACTAAAACATATTTGGAAAACTCTATTGATCTCGTGATTTGATCAAGGATTCATTAATGTTTTTACACTAGAATGTTTGAGTTTCAATTTCCTAGAGAAGATGGAATTATGCGAATTAATAGAGAAACGACATACAAAAGATTTACAGCATGGGACAAGGAATATCAGCTAACATGGATCCAATAGAACAGTTCAGGCGATGCAGTCAGGCATGAATCATGTAGAATTTTCGGCTGTAAAATCATCTATAAAATTTCTCATATAGTTTGTAATAGTATGATATATCCAGCGTTAAGAAAAAAAAAGCGCATATATAAGATTTTTACATAAATAAGGCTTTTAGTCTTTAGATAAAATTTGGAGATCAAAATTTTCATTTTGTTAAAGTAATTAATAAGTTTTGGCCCAAGCCCCATACAGTTTTCAGTTGTAACATACATTATTTGTGGCTTAAAACATTTATTGGTTTGATCAAGTAATTAGCAAACTAGGATAAGACCCGCGCCTTGCGAGATGAAGTTATTATTTTTATTATGTTTTGAAAAATGAAACAAAAGTTCGGTTTCATCTAGATTAAGGATGTTCAATCTGGATATCGGGTTTTAGTATTTTGGTTATTAAAATATAACTACTATTCTAAATCCATATTTACTTCAGTTTGATTTGGTTTATATATTGGTTTTCGGTTTATTCAATTTTATACCAAAATACATCATTATTTAGTTTGAAATCATATTATATATTATTAAAATAAATACTATGATCATATTTAGAGTCATATTGTCAAAAAGTCATTTACTAAAAAAATATTATATATTTAACTTAAAGAATAAAAAACAAAAAAAAGGCTTCTGTGTTCTAATAAAATGATCAAATCTAGAATTAATATCAAATTTTTAAATTTTGAAAATAAAAATAAAAACAAAACAGAAGCATGAAAGAAAAGTTTTTATATTCTTCCATATTTAGTGTTCATCAAATTAATATGTCTTCGATTGAACACAACTCTGTTTGTTTAAAGATTAAAAAAATTGTAAAGAATTTCAACTAATTGTTGTCCATCAAATTTATAATTTTTACTTCAATTTAGTTTTTATTAAAAAAAAAAAGAAAAAAAAAGAAAAAAAAAGACGAAGAAAATAAGAAGCCTCAGTTGCATTAAATTGTTAGTTAATTATATTTCAAGTGATTTACAAATCATAATTATAGTTCAACTCATGTAACAAATAGATATACATATTTACATGTTTCAGTTTAATAGATTATAAATCAAACCATATCCAAATCTTACGGTTTTTGTAAAATCACATACATTCGGTTTGTATGGTATATACCAAAAATAATCATATTATCGATTGTGTTAATATCTTTAAAAAATATTTAAATCATTGATAACAAAAATTTTCAATGTGAAAAATTTAATATGTTTATAATTTATAAATGTTCTTGAAAATTCATTTTAATTTTTGAAATTAAAATAAGTATGTAATCTTATATGGTATATATTTTAATCTATATATATATATATTTTATTTTTTTATTATTGAATGATACTTTTTACTCATATTGTTTTAAAATCATGTGTATCTTTTTATAATAAAATGTTAAACTATTGATCATTAATTTTTAACATAATAATTTTAATAGTTTTAGTCATTTATTCTTGGTTTTTTAAATTTCAAAATATAACATATACGGAAAAAATCTAAAGTTTAATTTTATAGCTAATTTGATTGTTTGATTTATTTTAATAATATAAAATTAAAGAAAAATGATGGAGGAGATACAAATTGTTATCAAATATTTATTATTAGTAACATTAATTGTCATATATATATATTTGTCATTTATGGTAATTCCGTAGCTTTTATTTAAGGGAAGAAAATAAAATAGTAATTATATCTAGCAGGACCATCATAAATGCTTCTATCATATATATCATATCATATCATATAGTTTGACCAACAAATATATCTAGCGATATATAAAAATCGAATGTGGACCTACTTATTTTTCAGTTGAATATAATTGACTAACTAATTAAGTGACACGTAAGCATGAACTCTTTTTTAATTATTACAAAATTGAGGTTACAATTTTTCAAGTGTTTCTCAATTAATATATAAGGGATGGTTAGTCTTCCATTTGGAGTTCAATACGTTATAAAATATCCGAGCCGCGTTTAGTCATTGGTCAACTGACTATACCAACCATTTGCTTTATTAAGACATTTTTCTTTTATAACATATTTTTTGACCAAATGCTTAATAGCATTTACTACCAAGTCGTTTTCACGCCATCTTTATTTTCTGTTTTGTTTCTTTGCTCAAACCAAACTAGTATTTCATTATATACAGTGTTATTTAAAAAACCAACAAATTGTTTTTGCCTGCTTATGTGTCATTCTAATAAATTGTAGAAATATTGTGCATTATGGCTTTTCCAAAATACAATCAAAAATACTATTTTAGTGTTGCAAACATTTACTATCTGTATGATTCATTTAAGAGTATTTGCATCCCATATACAAACTAAACCCCTAAATTAACTATATACCCTTTTTCTCTCTTATCTCTCCTCCACCCTATTCATTATTTTTTCCCCAAAACCATGGCATATTGCTAATATCCAACTTCTTTATGGATTATAGGCCAATTCACCCCATTTAATCCATATACCAAAATTAGACCCCGAAAAAGTCCAACTAGTGAGATATTGTGTGTTTCCACGTAACATGCATGAGATTCTATTGGGGGTTGACGAAATAAGTGTAAAAGCTCAAAGCGAGAAACTCACGCGCTTTGAGCTCACTTTACCCCTCCTGTATTTCGCTCTTTCCCAACTGGCACAAAGGAAGCAAAGCAAAGCAGCATCACTTCCCAATTAATTCACACCTCTCTCTCCCCCTCACCGATTATCCGATGCCGTTGGATAACGACGGCGACTTGACTCTAACGGAGCTCATCTCCTCCCTCCTACACCGTATCCCCAACCTCCTCAGCTTCAAATCCAAATGGTCTTCAATTCGCGTCAAACTCGCCCATCTCAACACTCACCTCTCCGTTTTCCCCGCCTCTCCTTCCAACCAGCTCTCCCTGGATCTTCTCCTCTCCCTTCGAGAAACGCTACTTGCCGCCGTCTCCGTCGCGGCTAGGTGCGAGGGACCAGATTTATCTGAGGGAAAGCTCAAGACGCAGAGCGACGTCGACTCAATCTCAGCGAGACTCGATCGCCACGTCAAAGACGCTGAGGTTCTGATCAAAAGCCTTATTCAGGATAACGGAACAACCGTTTCGAAGAAGGAAGCTGCGGCGAGGAATCTGGTCATCCGATTGCAGATCGGCGAACCGGAATCGAAGAACTCAGCGATTGAATCGTTGCTTGATTTGATTCAGGGGGATGATAAGAACGTGGTGATCTCCGTATCGCAAGGAGTTGTTCCCGTTTTGGTTCGGTTGTTAGATTCGTGTAGTAGTCTGAGTATGAAGGAGAAGGTTGTTGCCGTGGTTTCGAGAATCTCGACGGTTGAGGGCAGTAAACACGTGTTGATAGCTGAGGGTTTGTCTTTACTGAACCATCTCCTTCGTGTACTGGATTCAGGAAGTTCGTTCGGTAAAGAGAAGGCTTGTGTTGCTCTGCAAGCTCTGAGTTTGAGTAAGGAGAATGCTAGAGCGATTGGCTGTAGAGGAGGTATTTCGTCTCTTCTTGAAATCTGCCAAGCTGGGACTCCTGCCTCTCAAGCTTTCGCTGCGGGTGTGTTGAGGAACTTGGCTTTGTTTGCAGAGACGACTAAGGAGAATTTTGTTGAGGAGAACGCTGTTTTTGTTCTTGTCTCTCTCGGTTGTTCGGGTACGGTTCCTGCTCGAGAGAATGCTGTAGGGTGTTTGGGTAATTTAGCATCTGGGGATGAGGATATGATGATGTTGATTGTTAGAGAAGGAGGGATTAAGTGTTTGAAGAGTTTCTGGGATTCTGTTTCCGATGCTAAGAGCATTGAAGTAGGGGTTATGCTTTTAAAGAATCTAGCCTTGTGTCCTATTGTAAGAGAAGTTGTTATCTCGGAAGGGTTTATCCCACGTTTGGTTCAAGTGTTGAGTTGTGGGGTTCTTGGTGTGAGAATCGCAGCTGCGGAAGCTGTTTCTGCGCTAGGGTTCTGCTCCAAAAGCAGGAAAGAGATTGGTGAAAGCGGAGGCATCGGTGCATTGATTGATATGTTAGATGGTAAAGCCATGGAAGAGAAAGAAGCGGCTTCTAAAGCTCTATCAACGTTATTGGTGTGCACAAGCAACAGAAAGATTTTCAAGAGGAGTGACAAGGGTATACTCAGTCTTGTTCAGCTCTTGGACCCGAAGATCATGAAATTGGATAGGAGATACACAATCTCTGCGTTGGAACTGCTTGTAACTTCTAAGAAATGTAGGAAACAAGTCGTTGCTGCTGGTGCTTGCTTGCATTTGCAAAAGCTTGTGGAGATGGATGTTGAAGGAGCTACGAAATTGGCAGAGAATCTTGCTCGGAGTAAGATTTGGGGCGTCTTTGCAAGGCCATAAGAGACTGGATACGTTATTAACTTGTATGTAAGGAACACTGATGAATCTTCTTGTGCCACTTCTCTCTATATGTTGTTTGAATTGATTGTTCATAAGGTTTGGTTGATTGAGTAGGGGAGAGATTAATTGCTGATTAGTTCTGTAGACAAACAATAATATTTTCATAGAGTTTGTAATTCTCTGTTTCTATTTTCCTTCACAAATTTTGTTCATTGTCCTAAAACTTCAGCATCTAGTCCAAATGTTTGATTGATTCAACTGAACCTCGGAAGAGGGTAATGTTTCTTCATTATCTGCAATCTCAAACTGTTTTGTTGCATTTTTGAGTTGGAATCTATCTGGTGGTATGTCTTATCTGACACATCTCAAATAATGTTGGTCGGAAAGCACATGGCCCCGTATAATTGTAATACAGCTGTTAAGTTCTTCGACTTGGTTCAATGATTAAACCACAAATCTGAAATCTTCACATTTCTCGGATTCTTTTTGTTCACTAGTGATGTAAAAGATAGAAATTATATTTCTCTACAAAATGGGGCAGATCAGTTACCACTGATTTTTCTTACATTTATATCGTTACATTCCTGGAATGAGTGTTCTTGAAGCAAACAATAAAGAGCAAACATGTTTATTGAACCGATGGAGTGTTTATGTGTTACCATCATGCTGATGTTTACTTGATACTATATAATGATTTGAGCTGCTGACTGATTAACCTGCTGCTGTGAATAGCTGATTGAAGCTCTAGATTATCTGACCACCATTGCTCTAATCCGTGAGCCTCGAGAAATTTTTGTTTCCCTTTCGACATCACGAAAAGCTTTGCTGCTGCTTGAGGCATAGTGTTCACAAGAGGACTGTTGTTCTCCTTATTGTGCACTTCTCCCTTCTCATTTACTCCACCCTGGTCAGTGTAGTGGCAGCAGATGTAGTCGCTGTCGTTCACATATAAATGAGGCACCCATTTTCTCAAATCCACAGAAGATTTCTGATTCTGCCCATAGAAACTCGGTACCCAGTTCCTAAAACCTGAACCACTGGCAGGACTAGGAGCCATCTCTGCTTCATTACCATTTAGGATCAAAGGCTCGCTTTTCTGAGGAAGCATTGACATGAGTCTTTTCCAAGCAAACCCAGCTTTTTCACCAATGTTTCTTAAGCTCATAGCGAGAGATACAGAAGGTGGATTGAACAAATGAGCATCCACAAATAGTCCTTCTTTCGCCAAGGCCTTACCAACCTGTAAAGCAAAACCAGCTCCTAACGAATGACCTACAATACAAACGTTACTGCTCCCATATCTCTTAGCTACCGACTGCAGCGCTTCAAGAGCAACGCTAAACCTCACTGAACCTTTAAGGCTCTCCCAAGCTAGAAACCGGAGATCGTCTTCTATGTCACGTCTCATTGTAAGACTCTTTAGTATGGTTCCTCGGAGAGCGAGTACTGCTTTTGGTGCCCCACTTGGTCTGATGACGACTAAATCAGACATCGCAGCTGCTCTGTCCCATTCAAGAACAGCTCCGAATATGGATCCGTCTCGCTCATCAATCAGCGTCTGCGATAACTTGTACTTGAAAGGGATCCACCATTTTGGTGCGAGAGCGTTTTGCGCGTTTCTGTTCTCTTGTCTGTCGAGTTCAAGTAAGTAAGCTGCTTGAATAAAGCATGCCATTACTGTTCTCTTGTAGTTCGGATCCTTCCTACATACACAGAAAAGCAACAACTTTAGACATTTTATATAATAAACAGATTCATCTTAAGTAAATACTTGCAGAACCACAAAAAAAATAAGTTATTTTTAGAAACTTCTCACAGGACATGATTCACTTCAGACACCATATAAGGGTAACGAAAGTTAAGAATGTTCCAAGTTTCAAATGGTGTTTTTAAAGAAACAGATTAAAGCTAAACAAAAATTTCAACCAACTCCGAGTTTGAATCCCTTCAGATCTGAAAAACAGAAACATGATTTTTACTGCAATGTCTTGAGATTCAAAGACGTAGAAACCCAATCTAAACAAAAACAACTTAAGAACAGAAACTAGTATCAGTTGTAATAAGACAGAGAAACCATACCAACTGGAACTGATGAGATCTCTCCAGTTAGGAGAAGCCACGTTTCTAGGTCCCGAAACGTGAAACGCGTAAGGGTGATGAGCGTCATCTTCCTTAACCACCACCCTCTCCGTCTTCGGATTCGTCGGCGTAGTAGTAGCCGCCATTAACACAACAGATTCAGTTTCCGTCATGTCTTCTTCCACAGCGCCACAATTCGCCATCAACATTCCTTCTCTGTTTCTTCTTCTACGCAACTAAAGAATCAGATCAGACTCTCTCCTCAGTGGGAATTTAACTCTGGAGATGAATGCAAGTTGGCAAATTCGAAATCGTTCGCAATGGGAATCGGATTCGAATTGATATGTTTTCAAGCGTTGGAAACTTGGGAAGAGGATAAAGTTGAAATATTTTATAGATTTGTGAATTAATCAACAAAAAAACTTTAATTTATGATTTTGAAACGCCTGAGATTTGCGGATCTATCAAACGGTCATCTTGTTTTTGTTGTCGACTTTTATAGTAAATACCTTTTAAACCCTTGATCTTCTGTCGTACAAGGTCTTTCCTTCAGGGGTAGAGTAGGTAGAACGCTAAACTTAATACACGGTGGAGAGTGGAAGCAAGCGCGTATTGTTAAATATGGTGTATACCTTTTAGTATTGCTTAAGCACAACATTAGAGCATCATTAGTGGCAAATCTCTCAACATGGATTTCTCTCAACATAAATATATTACTATTTGCACAAAACATAATTGAATAACAAATAAAAATGTCTGAACTAAAATTGTGAATGAAAAAGTGACAGCTGAGTTGATTTTCCCTTAATTCTACAACAAGATGATTCTTGTAGTCTTCCAATTCCCTCTCCTACTGTTTGTTATTTTATTGATCTTTTCAGAAAAACAACTCATGCTAAAACGTACCAGTGTGCTTGCTCTTATTGGTTTACTCAATAAGACCATTGGAATAGGTTCTAATGATTAGTTTAATTGTTAATTTTGTGAATTGTGAAGTTTAGAACCCCTCCTAATATAATTAAATTTGTCATGGTTCAATTTCAGAATTTCTTTGAGGTTCTTAATTTTCTTTAAAACATTTATAAGTTGAATTATTAAATTTTACAAAACTTATAAATTATTGGATTTCATAAGATTTGTAAAAATATAATAGAAAAACATATTAGAAATAGAAATAGAAATTTATAATTAAAATTTTTAAACAAGCATGAAAGAAAAGCATAAATAAAATTTTAAATGGAATCTGACATTAAAGACATGTTAGTGGGAGTTATATTTATATAGAGTTTGTTAACTTTTAAAGTTAATGAATTTGTTAAATTTGGAAAGAGTTGTAGAGATTTTTGTATATTGTGAAATTATGTGAAAATAAATTGATATAATGATTCTAAGCATCTAAAGTATATAGGTAGTATTTTCAAAATCTTTTATTATGAGTGAAATGACGAAGAATATAATTCCTAATAACACCAACTTTAATAGATTTAAAGAATCAATAAAATTTAAACTTTTTAAAGAACAAAGTGATTGTGTATAGAGTTACTAAATCATTAAACCAATAACACTAGACTTTAATGAAAAAATCTAAAAATCTATAAACCAATAACACTAGATTCTAAAATTTTGAGAATCATTATAATTTTTAGTCCCAATAACACCCTCTAAACTTGTTGTTATTGAAATCCGACATTAAGCATAAATTAATGTAGTGAAACTTGCCGTTATTGAAAATTTTGACTCACCAGTCTTGATTTTTCATCTTTTAGCTTTTGCTTTTTGATTGCTTGATTATCCTGAATCAGATTGGTAGTGCCATCTATGTGTTTGGGACTCGTTTCACTGCAAGGAGGCATCATAACACATACCAAAACGATTACTAGAGGAATGTGAAACCATATATGGTGTATGGGAATGTTTATTAAAAATGTACCTTTCCACACTTTTCTGATTAGTTCCTTTTCAGTAGAGTAGCTATTTTTCTAACAGTTTGCTGCTTCTTAAGGTCCATTGACTTTCTTCCATGAGATGACTGCATTGGTGGTTTGGGTGAGCAATTAGAAAAAGGAATGTCTCATATCTCAGCCAAACATTATTACAAACTCCCAAAAACAAACAAACAAATAACCTTGCTGATTTCCCACTTATTATCCGCGGATGATAGTTCTGCAAATCTTGCAGGATTACGAAAGAGTCTCGGATCAACAAATAAATTTTCAGAAATCTCTACTCCAATTTGTACATAAAATTTTTGAGGACGTTAGATCGGAGGTACATAATGCGTTAGGAATTACCACAATTGGTGGTTTGGGCTACTATTTGGGGATTCCTGAAAGTTTTGGAGGACCGAAAACACAGATTTTTGTTTTCCTTAATGAGAGGATTAATACCAAGGTAAATAATTGGATGGTGCATTTTATTACAAAGGGAGGGAAAGAAGTTCTGATTAAATCGGTCGCTTCCCAATGCCAAATTATGTTGTGTCATGTTATCGGCTGCCCAAAAAGGTTACCAAAAAACTTACAAGTACTATTTCACGCTTCTGGTGGAGCAGTTGTGGAAATAATAAAGGTATGCATTGGTTCTCGTGAGATAAATGTGTTTGGGAAAAGAGGAAGGAGGTATTGGTTTCAAAGATATCCAAAATTTCAACATGGCTTTATTAGCCAAGCAATTATGGAGATTAGTAGAAAAACCGAATACACTATTTGCAAGAGTTTTCAAAGGAAGATATTATAGGAACTCAGATCCTTTGGATCAAATAAAATCTTACTCTCCTTCATATGGTTGGAGGAGTATTACTTCGGCTCGATCTCTGGTTAATAAAGGGCTAATCAAAAGAGTATGAACTGGTTCAAACATTTCTGTCTGGAAGGATCCATGGATTCCTGCTCCTCGCCCAAGGTCAGCCACCCCAAAACTTCAGAATCAGTTTTTAAACCCCTTGCTCAAGGTGAAGGATTTATTTATCCAGTGAGTCTTTCCTGGAATTTAGATTTGTTGAAAACTTATATTCACCCGGATGATGTACATATTATTCAAGGCATAGCAATTAGCCGCCACTCAAAACCAGATTCTTATGGCTAGCATTTTACTGATCATGGATGATATACAGTTAAGTCTGGTTATAGAGTGGATAAGTTATATCCTGACTTGGGACCTCAACAACAATTCATTGACCCTGACACGAAGGCCCTTCTTGCTTTCTCTTGGAAACTTCAGTGTTCCCCAAAACTGAAACACTTTGTTTGGCAGACCTTATTTGGTACCTTACTAGTCACAATGAATTTATGAACTCGAGGTATTAATTGTGATACGCAGTGCCAAATATGTGGCGCCGAAGAGGAATCAGCGAACCACATTGTCTTTTAGTGCTCAGTGGCACTTCAAACTTGGGCACACTCAAGGTTTCCATCGCATCCTGGAATTTTTTCCGGAACATTTTTTTTTTTACTAAAATGGGTTATCTTTTTGGGGACTTCCAAAGGAACCAGATCTGAAACTATTCCCATGGATAATGTGGTACTTGTGGAAAAATCAGAATGATAAGGTTTTTAAAAATAAATTAAAAAGTCTTTTAGAAATTCTTCAAATGGCAGAGATTGAAAGGTCGTTATGAGCGGAAGGGAAATTGCAATTTAATACAACAGAGAGAGAAATTCCATTGCCCGATGGGAACTCTGCTCTCATAGAGAGATCATGGTATTTCGTTGATGGTTCTTGGAAAACAGAGTCAGATTCTATGGGACAAGGATGGTGCTGCAGAAAAAATGGAGAAATTGAATCGATGATGGGTGCCATGAATATCCGAAGAAGCTTATCACCTTTACATGCTGAATGTGAAGCGCTGATTTGGGCAATGGAATGCATGAAGACCCTACAGATATCAGAAGTGGTGTTTGCAACTGACTGTTCTCAACTGGTGAAGATGGTGTCTACACCAACAGAATGGCAGCTTTCACTACGCATATGGAGGAGTTCCTAAGATGTAAGCGTTTCTTCCCCTCTTCAAAATACGGCATATCCCAAGGGCACAAAATACTTTGGTGGACAAGCTAGCACGTGGGATTAGAAGTCTGTCATCTGCCATGGTTTATGTCGACTCAGTGTTACCACCTTGGCCACCGGAATTGAGTTCATCTTAGTCTAGATTAGCCTTTAATTTGTTGGAAAAAAAAACCTTGCTGAGTCCTTGGAACTGCTGTGAGATGGCTTAATTGTGCTTGCTTCAGTAGTATGAACTTCTTCTTTCTTGGCCTCAGAGATACCATCAGTCTCCGATTGTGAAGAAGTAGTTACAGCTTCTTACTCTAAAGGCTCTTTATCTTGCAAAGTAGACATATTCAAGAAAGATTACAAAAATGAATCTTAAGCAAAAAAAACTCATGCTTGTAATATACAATTATTGTTGATTGAGGCAAAAGCTTTACTAGTTTATCTTCATCTTCTCTATTGTTAGCTCGAGCCGCCACCGGTTTCTTTGCGCTCACTGGTCTTGCAGGGCTTGGCTTGGTGCTAAAGGCAATGTCTTGCTCTACGTGAGGCTGTTCTTGAACCTTTCTTTTGTTCCTGTTCATTAAGACAAACAATGAGTTTATTGCGTGACTGACTTAATAAAGTAGAAGTGATCCGTTTCTCCTCTTCCCGTTATTGCCTAAGCATACCATACTCATCCAACATAGCTAGCAGAGTAACACCATTGTATGAAAAGGACATGCTGTGATCCTATTCCCAAGTTCTGGTCTTAGCAACCAATGTATCAACCATGGCTTATCATCAAATGTGTATTCAACTTTTTTTTTGTATGCGGCATCGGTTCCTAGAATCAAAGCAGGAAGATGTTTTATTCATATTTATTATTATAATGTATCAATTCATATTTATTATTACAACTTGATTCAACTTGCAATCAATCGAACAATCAACTCGCAATCCCTAATTGCGCTTCTCAAACAAAAACCCTAATCATTACCCAACAAAACCGAGACTAAATCAGAACTCCAAACCCCTAGATCTGACAATGATTCCAAAACCAATTTTCAGTTCTAACGAGATTCACAAGCTTCAAATCAATACAAAAAAAATCCAAGAAGTTGAACCTTCAAACTGGTTTCATGGACGGATCTGGAGAAGGAGAGACAACGAGATTTTTCAGACACAAAAAAACCATCGACGAAAAGAGAGAGACGACCAATAGAAAGAGGGCACGTAAGGGGTTAATAAAAATTTATTAATGATTTAGAAATTCCAAAAATTTATTAATGATATTGTCACAAGTAAAAGATACATACATAGTACATATGTTAATAAAAAATAACTAATAACATAACGAAGAAGACGAAAGAACAACAAACGTTTAAATAAAGGAAACTGTAAAGATATATTCTCTGTGAAATCTTCGTTATCAATAGAGTATCAACTTTATTAACTTTCTTGCGAACTTTAAATCTTTGTCCCTTCATAAACACCAATTTCCTTTTTTCTATTACATTGATCTTATCCCAATGTAGAACTATAAATAGTTTATTATTTAGAATCCAATGTATTGATTCAACCGAAAAAATTAAAAACTGGGACAACCAACTTTCAGCGGTTGTAAGAATATCGCCATACCACAAGGAAACTTCATCTTCTAGTCTGTATTGTCGTTCTTCCCGTGGTGGTTTCCAAGGTTTCAAAAATAATTCAGACTTATCCATATTTTTATACCAAATATATTGTATCAAAATTGATCTTCTTCTCTCGATCTCATCATACAACTGCTTCAACAAGTCTTGTAATTTTCCTGGATCCCAAATTATTCGACCAAAGCACCATCTATAACGATGAATAAACCAAGTTGCAATTGAAAATTGACAATACCTTTCAAACTGACATCGCAGTGGCTCTTAACCACCACAGAGATGGAGGATGTTGGAGTAGAACTATCGTAAAACCATCCCACACCAACATAAATGTCAGGTTCCAATAGATTGTGTACCGAATGATGATGGCGACTTGTTGTTGATGATGTATAAACCAATTGAGAATTATAAAATCCCATATTTTGTTTGATAAACATCACCATCCAGTGAGAACCAATCATAACTTCAGTCACAAGAAAGAGAAGTGAAAACAATATGCATGTGGTGTTGGAGAAAAGCCAGAAAAATGGTTAGTTTGATCACTGAGATCATCGTGTGGATAACTGGATCATAAGATAATCACCAGAAACACTGTTTACTGTCTTGATCAGATCAAGCGTTGAAGAGAAGAGAGGAGAAGGAAATCGCCTATAACCGTCTCCTTCCCAATTGCTCTTCCAAAAAGCCCTTTGTTAAGCACCAGTTCTTTGGTTTTATCTATTTTTCATTTATTTTTTTGTTTTTTTTGAAACTTTTTTTTTTTTGAGCATCATTTGAAACTCTCTCTAAAAGCATCCATTAGAGGTGCTCTAAGTATCTCACTAATATAATAGTAGTAGTTTAAATAAAAGATATGTTAAGAAACTAATCTAAATTTGTTAAGTCCAATGGTAAAATACTTACTAAATATCTCCTCTTTGATATTTTAATTTTATTGTCACTTAATATAGCTCATTAGTGTCTATTTTTAGTATTAATATCTGATTTTAATTTATGCATAATCGATCTTGTTAAATTGAAAATTTAATTTTATGATTTATAAGAAAAAGTAAAAATAATGTTAATGACATATAAATGATGTAATTAAGTTTAAAATTTTGGTGTATTTAAAAGAATCCGTATGTCATGTCTAAAGATTCTCAACAGGTTCTGAAAATATGTCTACTGAGAACTGGTTGTCTTGAGTTTCGTCTATAATTTTTTTCTTTTCATTTCTTTTTATCTTTTTAAGTCTTAGATACCCTAATCTCATATTTGCATTGGAGCTGCTCTAATATCCAATGACAAACAATTTTTATTGTTTGATATGTATACTAATTAGGAAAATTTGATAATATAACCAAAAAAAAATCTAATTGATCATCTAATCATATCACAATTGGTGTTAGGATATAGGATATGAATGTTGACGGACTGCACAACATTACACCAATGTTAACAAAAATCTCTACATATACATAAGTATCTATATATTTTTGCTATTATTAAA